GTGTGAATGGTTGTCTGTCCCTGTGTGTTGGCCCTGCGACAGACTGGCGACCTGTCCAGGGTGTACCCCGCCCCTCGCCCTATGACAGCTGGGATATGCTCCATCGCCCCCCGCGACCCTGAAAAGGAAATGCGGAAGCAAATGGATGGATAAAACTCAAAATCACTGAGTTTGTTGGACAAAAAGGCAATGAAAGCAAAAGCTAAACAAAAACAGTAAAATAAGAACTATGCACAGTGTTTGGCATCTTTCTCAAAGACTGGAGGAGCCACAGATTAATGTATGAGGTTCTCTATCACAACCACAACAAAGGTTTTTCCCCCAAAGATGATTCGTTGTTTTATTAAAAGTATCGACAGTTTCTACATATGACCTGCTCCGTAAACTGATTACAAAATCAGAAACACAACATACACAGGCCCCAGTACAAAAACACTTTTTTCTTTCCTTGAGTTTTTGTTTACATTTGTTGAGACACGTCAGCATTTTAATAAAAGTGAGAAGGGCTGTGACACACGTGGGGAATACAGAGAAGTGCTGTAGCATTAGGTATCTGAAAGTGCTGTGCCAGTCCAAGCACACTGATCTCAATCCCAGCAACCGGCTGACTCTCATGTCTGCTGCTGCTGCTCCAGCATGACTTCACAGGTGCGTCCCAGTTCTCCCAGTTTGACCTTGGCATACTCGGCTCGGTTCAGTGCCATCTGACAGTCCTTCCTGGCTGAATAGGTAGAACCTTCATGTGGCTGACCAGTCGCTACCTGGAGAAAGAAAAAGGAGAAACAAACTCGAATCTGTTGCTCACAATATTTCTATCATGGAGGTAAGTTCTTCATTTATAAAAACAAATATTAATAATTAAAAGAAAGACTGCATCAGTTTGTATTTGTGAACCTCATCTATCTATTAGATTTATGACTTTAAAAATTTCCTACATAACTCTTAATTAAAAACATGTTCTCTTCAGTTTTACAGTAGTACAGAGAAAACCCCAACAATCAGACGACCCCGAGCACTTTAACCTTAACATACTGTAGAGTTTTTACCTTTAAACAGAAAGCACACGACTGTTGTTGTGATTTGGTGCTATATAAATAAACTGAACTGAATTCAGGGTCACATGATGCAGCCCCATCTATAAACTGAAACTTATTAAAAAGGAAAGTGTTAAGCCTGATCTTAAAAGTAGAGTGGGTCTCTGTCCTCTGAACCCAAACTGGGAGCTGGAGCAGACCGCTAAGGGCTCTGCCTCCCATTCTACTATCAGGAGCTCCAGGAACCACAAGTAAGCCTGCATCTCAGGTTATTATCCTAATTCATAGTATCCTAACTCTGTTAGGATAATATCAAATCTTGAAGATATGATGAAGCCTGATATTTTGAGACCTTGTAAATGAAGACTTTAAATTAAATTCTGGATTTAACAGGTGGGAGAAATTTGCCATTTCTAGTGGAGGTGAAACCGTTTCTGAAACAGGTCTGCAGCTGTGGATTGAACCTGTGTAAGGTAGCGGATCTGGCCACTTAGTTCGTTCTCCACTCGGCTGACTGAGTTCTGGAACTGGATGAGCTGTCTGTCCATGAAGCTGGCATTGTGTTTATCTTTGGAGAGTTCAAGAACAATGTTACCTGCAAGGTCAAGCATAAACATAGAAACGTG